AGGTAGAGAGGGAAGATGGGAGGGGAGGGGAGGGGGGATAGTAGGGGATAGGAAAGGTAGCAGAATACATCAGTCACTAATATGCCATTATGTAAAAGTGTGAATGTGTAACCAATGTGATTCTGCAATTTGTATTTGGGGTAAAAATGGGAGTTCATAACCCACTTGAGTCAAATGTATGAAAGATGATATGTCATGAGCTTTGTAATGTTTTGAACAACCAATAAAAAAAAAGAAACTTATACTAAGTATTCTCAAATGACTGATCAATTTGAACATAGGAAGATTGGAGTGGGTGACTGAAATAAATAAGAGTTCAAAAAAAGATCAAAGACAGATTAGTTATAGAAATCCAAGATATAAAAAACTCCATTTTCTTATTGAGGTAACACCCTGTTATGAATGAGAAACAGTAGGGTAAGGCCTCAGAGCTTAATGAAAATTTAAATAAATTTCAAACCATGGTATAGAGGACATAACAAGCAGTACAACTAGATGATTGAAAGTAATGGTAAAGGGAAAAGCTGGAAACTATGAAATCTGTGTAGAGCCAATCAGGACCACTAATATAATTATCTCCAACTGTGATCAGGAGTCTAAGAACAACAGTTAGAAATACAATGGGGCTTACACTGTGGTTTGGCTAGAGATAGGGTTGTAGCTCAGTGGTAGAAAACTTGCCTAGCACATGTGAGGCATTGAGTTTGATCCTCAGCACCACATAAAAATAAATAAATAGGGCTGGAGTTGTGGCTAAGTGGTAGAGCACCTGCCTAGCATGTGTGAGGCACTGGGTTCGATTCTCAGCACCGCATATGAATAAATAAAACGAAAGTCCATTGGCAACCAAAAAGTATTTTTAAAAATAAATAAAATAAAGGTATTGTGTCTACCTACAACTAAAAAAGATATTTAAACATTTTTTTAAAACAGCAACTTTGTTCTAACTTCATATATTATAGTAAGTATATATGTTATACGTTTTCCTACCTTCTTAGAGAATATAAGATGTCATTTTACCATGCAGTGTAAATAAAACTGCTTTGGGAACCAGAAGAACTTAACTCAAAATTTTGGCTCTACCATTTACTACCCTTCTGATCTTGTCTCTTGAGCTTTACATAGTTCTCTCATTCTTAAAATAGAAACAATATAATTTATTTGTAAAATATACGGTAGTGATGAAATGTAAGTAAATAAAATCCTTATGATAGGGCTTGACATATAGTCAAATTTAAAAAATAAGTGGTATCAGCTATTTTTCATAGTTTCTAACAAAGAACATCATCAAGAACATACAATATTTAGTTTTGCTACTATGTAAAGATATACATGACTCATACTGAGTTGTCTGTCCCTAGAGAAAGTGACTAAAACCTATAACAATTTTCTACTTTGCTTCTATATATAATTTATATATATATACACATATATAGATATAATTTTACCATTGTCTGGTCATTTGACATTATTTTATACCACTGTTATTATGTTTTCTCTAATATCCTATCCCTGTTCAAATACAACAATTAGATAACATGGCTAGTTAGAGTTTATTACGTACCCTCCCAGGAAACCCAGATAACCATGTTTGCTAGAATTATTTTAGAAACAATTCTAATGTAATGGTTATATAGGTTTCCTTTTGGATTCTTCTTATGCAAAGAGACTTTAATATCTTCTTCCAGCTACCTAATTTTCAGTATGTACATGAGCAATCAACAATCCACAGTTCACAAAATTATTTTCTATGACCCAGCCTAGCAAAATGATACAGCCTCACTGGTAGCCTCTTCTTTGCTTGTTCTTCATCCTGAAATCTACTCTTTTTCTTGCTATTAAATTACTGTTTAATAATTTATGTTACCTCTTGATAAAGATGTGATCATTCAAAAATTCATAAAAATGGAAAATATTAAAAATTAACTATAAGGACCCCTGTTGAAACTTTTCAATGTAACTTATTTCAATGAATCTTTCTTATCATCTTTCCTTTTTAGAGATTTTCTTTTTACAGGTTCTAAACAAAATCAGATACTACCCCTCTCTAACCTCTTATTCTGCACTATTTAATAATATATCTTGGTTCTCCAAGATATGAATACTTCTTTTTTTCAAATATTTATTTTTTAGTTATAGGTAGACCCAATGTATTTTACTTTATGTGGTGCTAAGGATTAAACCCAGTGTCTCATGTATGCTAGGCAAGCACTCTACCTCTGAGCCACAACCCCACCCCGATATAGGACACTTCTTGAAGCAGGAAGATCACACCATGAGATTCAGTCTTTAATAACACTCATGGCATCTAG